TGGGGCCCCCCCTGCCACTACAGGCCCCCCGAGCAGCTGCCTGAGGGGCCAGCCTCCCTCTCCTCCTTGCACTTACTCCTTGTGGGGCTCCTTCTCTGGGGCTGTGTCTTCCCAGCCACAATCCCTTCAGGAAACGAGCTGCTGCTTCAGCTCAAACATAGCCTGCTCCAAGAATCTCTCCCTGGGTGGGGCAAGTTTTCTGTGTATTTTCCTGGCCCTGGACAGTCTGGATATTTTACATGACTATCTTCTGTTTGTTAATGTTTTTCTTGCTAGATGTTAAGCTCCTTGGAGGCCAGGATCACAGCATGCAGTTTGCCTTGTATCTCAGATACCTGGCACAAGTAGGTATATATTAACTGCTGAGTGAATGAATGATGGAGAGGTCTTCAAGGACACTTACTCTGCCTAATGGGAATGCACCAAGGTTCTTGTGAGGACAAAAGATGGTCACATATAGAAAAACTAAGGGGATGCCCAGGGACCAGAGTCAAGATGTCTGCATCTTACAAGTATACACATTACACACACAGATACGCACAGCGACCTATACACATTCATGTACATGTGTACACCCACATGTACTTCTCCACTCTTCTCTCAATGCTTGGAATCTGGGAGGCCCCCGAGGGCCTGCCCTCAGGCCAGCCTCTCTGCCTCCACACTGTCCCAGCTAGAGTTCTTCTGAAGCTCTTGGAAGAAAAGCTGCTGCTGGAGGCTTCTCAGGTTTTCCAGGTTCTCTGGAGAGAGTTGCTCGGCTGCCTTTCCCAGGTCTTGCTCCTCTTCGTCCGTTTCTGCCAGTCCATCTGGAGGCTGTGGGGAGCTCCTGGAGATGTAGCCCTGGTCAGATTGCACCGACTGCCGCTGCTCCTCCTCGTAAGAGGTGTATGGGTCTTTGAGGCCCCCTGCAGGCCCCTCCCACCTCTGCTGAGCCTGGTGGGTTAGACTCTGCTGGAAGAGCAACAACATCAGTCCTTCGAGCTGTTCCCTGACATCACCTGGGAGGTGGCCAGGTGACAGCATCGGGGTACTACAGAGAGGTGAGTCCTCCGAGCTCACTGGGAGGAAGAGGACGCTGTTGCGCTGAGGGCCAGGGTCGCCCAGCAGTGGACAGGCCTCACCCTCTGCCACCATGGCCAGACGGCTGGCTGTGCTGCTCTCATCAGCAGGGATGGGCTCCACTGCTTGAACTACAGGGACCTTCTCCACTGGGAGCACCACAGCCTGGAGGGTCTGGGCCGCCCACTCTCCCGGGGGCTGAAGCTGAGGTTCTAGCTTTGACATTCCTCTTTCTTCCTCACTGATGAGTACATCTACCACCAGACAGCCCTCGGAGGAAGGTTCCCGCAAAAGGGGCTTTTGCTTGATAATCCCACCTCCTGGTGGCAGCAGTAGCTCTTCAAACACCTCTTCATCCAGGGACGGGAGGTCCTGGTCATCTGCTGAGCAAAGGTTCTCACGCTCAAACCAATCAGGGCACTGGGTTTGCCACTCCTGGAACCTATCCACAGCCTCCTTAAGCTGCCGGCCACTAGGGCTCTTCAGGTAGCTTTCCTCTGTGAGCTCCCCCAGGCGGTGCATCCGGCCAGGTTCAAACATTTCCAAGTCCTGGATCCGGAAGTACACCTCCTCAAATCTGTCCATCAGTGGGTATCTGGAAGTGATATTAAAGAGGTCAGGGATATCCGCCTCACTGCTGATGCCACTGAAGTAGCAGACGATGTAGCTGCCAAAGCAAGCTGGCTTCTTGAAGTCAGGGAGGATCATGTTCATGGCCGCTGTGAAAAGGTCCCCAACAGGCTTCCAACGGTCACACCGCAGCTGGACAGCAGGCTCCTCCCAGCCAAGAATGGCTTGCCACTTGGCCCTGGTGCCTCGGGAGCATAGAATGATGATCTTCGAATTGCTCTCTGCCATTTCCTGCTTCTGGCGGCCCACCCAGGTCATGACCCCCACCTCTGAGATGATCTGTTCTTCCAGGAGGTCCAAAGCTACTTCAGTGCCACAAGTGGTGAGAAGGAACTGTGCGAACTTGAGGACTATGTCCACATAGAGAGGGTGGTCAGCTGAGTAGATGATCCAGACCTTCCTTGGCTTCAGGGGTGGCGGGGTCAGGTCAGCTGCAGGCGTGTCATCTAGGGGAGACAGGAGAGCTAAGATCACACGTGTGCTGAGGCACGCACCACAGGCAAAGGGTGTTGGCCCATAGCCCGCTGTGATAAGTCCAGCCCACATGTAGAACTGGACTTCAAGTCTAGGAAGGGCATCTGGGGCCTCTTTGGCAGAAGCCAAATGTTGCTGTTTTACCTGTCTGACAAAAACCAGTCTGGTGCCCTGTGAGAAAAGAATCTCCCCCTCTCTCTCTCTTATATATACACACATTCACACTCCTATCTGGCTTTGACCTGATAGTTCCATCATCTTGATTTTATAAAAACAAGAAGCACAAAGGCTCATCTGTGGAACAGAAATGTCTGCTCTAGGGAGAAGTTTTTTTCACAAAATTGGTACATTCATCCTCCTTTCCATTCCTGAGTGATTGGAAAAATGGTACCCCCCAGATGGCATAGTGGTTATGCCGCTCGACTCCCACATGACTGACTATGGCTCAAGTCCCAGACCCATGGTTTGACAATTACTGGGTGTTGTGTGCATATGGGCCCATATCCTGGGCAGAGAATGGAGAAGGGATTATGGCATGCTTCCTGGGGGGGGGGGGGGTTGATTTCTTACTTTACCCTGTATCTGTTTCTCTCTCCAAAGAACACAGATGCCCTGAGGCAAAAATTGGGGGCAGCCTGAAAGCCGAGTAAGGGGGGTTCTGGCAGGAAGGTCCTCCAGTGGGGTCTCCTGGAGGGACTTACAATCAGAACACAAAAGGCAACCCACCCACTTATCCTAGGACAACCCTCCACACACCTTTAAAAACACAGACATGCAACCGGCCCACATACATCAAATACTGACCAGTGCATTTGGTGTCGTTACCATATTTTTCACGATGAGACCCTGAAAGGAAAAGAAGTGCATCAGGCCAAAGAGAAGCAAGGACTAGCTCACCGTGTCTGAGGTGAGAACTACCCAGCCCCTGGCAAAGAACACACGATAAGGAGTCAGGCCTGAGCCAGCGGCTGTGAGCTGCTTCTGGGTCTCTACAGGGAGCTCCTTCTCTGTAGTGTACATGTGAATCCTGGGCCTGCCACTGTGAGCCATGGGCTCTGAGAAGGTAGTAACGCCTACAACTCAGATCCTTCCCCATAAGATGAGTCTGTGGGGGTGTTAAATGAACTCACATATGTGAAATACCTGCATGAGATACTGAACTGGCTGGTGTCACCATTACTTGTAGCACTCTCCCAGCAGGGACACCCTACCCCAACGATGGTACCAGGGATTCCACCTGGTTGTCACTGCAGTCCTGGCTACTCCACCCAGCTCACCCCCAGACTCCCCTTGAAATGTCCTGTGGGAAAGATATCCCTCTTCTGACACTTCTTCCCCCACTTCTTCCACAAACAGCACCCTGGGGCCCACTTATACCACTTCCTACTATTTTTTTTTTCTTTTTGAGATTTTCACTGTAGGGCGCGTGCGCTCGCCAGACAGACAGAGAGAGACATAGAGACAGAAAGCGAGAAATCACCCCCCAGGGGGGATGGTCACGCCGCAATCCCTTATCCTCCATTCTCCTCTCGGGATCTTGGGCACGCACGCACACGCGCCCGGCGTGAGTTTTAAGCCACCGGGTCCGGGACACGAACCGCAGTCGACTACGTGGGAGTCCAGCGACATAGCCATTACGCTAACTGCTGGTTCCCCACTTCCTACTATTTTTGAGGTGAGGAAAATAAACTAACACACTTAAGCAATTGTTCCGCCTTGGAGATGTGATGGAAAAACTGGTGAGTTTTTTTTAACTCTGGTGACAATCAGGATGAATGAAATCCAAGGGTATCCAAGCAAGAGATTCAGAACCTGAATTTCAGTCCTCACAAAGACAATCAAATAACCAGTGTGGGTTTTCTTGTCCTTCACCCTGTACTGTGGGGTACCCCAGATGGTCAGGAGTGCAACAGCAGAAATGAAACCAAAAGTCCCCCAAAGCAGCATCGACACAGAGCTCGACAGCTCTAAAGCACTAGCTATGACACCTGTACCAACCCTTCCAGTAGGCTTCTCATGCCAGGTTGGCTTTCTGCCCACCACACGGTAATGGTAATGATAATGATCACAAGCCTTGGTAATGTGGAAATTCTTCCCAGATGATTGAAGATGCCCCCTCGGGTAATGGAGGACAGAGAAATACTGAGCCACTTAACCTGAAGACCCACATTCTCCCTGCCTAGAATTCAGCCAGCAGGGGGCTCCAGGCAGGAAAAGACACGGATATTTGCCAACACCCCTCGGCAAGCATTTTCCTTGGCTATCTTGGTTAATCCTCACTATAGCCCTGAAAAGGGCATTATCCCATTCTACAGGAATGACAAAGCTAAGGTTTGTTAAGTATCTTGCCTATGACTACAAAGCTAGTGAGGCAGAGTTGGGATCCACCCCCATGGGTAAGGACACAGAGCCTAGGCCTCCCCTGCCATACCACGCTGTCCCTCACTATTCTCCCTGATCTTAGACAGACAAGTCTGAGGGCTGCAGGATAGGACTGTTCAGGTTGCTCTGCCTGCCTGGATGACCATTCCTCACACAGGGAAACTACTCGAATTCCTTCCAACTTGTTGATCTTAATCATTTAAATTTGAATAAATATAATTATAGCAAATAAACATGGAGCAAATGTCACAGGCCAGGTTCTACCGAGAATTCACGTGCATTATTTGATTTAAAACTTACACAGGCTTTAGAATGAGTGTACCACTTCATTTCTAATGTACAGAAGAGGAACCTGAAGCTCAAAGAATTAAGTCTCTGGCCCAGGTAGTAAGTGGTAGAGTCGAGCCCAGGTCAGCCTGACCCAGGTTTTGGATATAAGCACAAGAGAGGGAAGGACTGGATTACAGGGTAGTCTCTGACCACAGCCTGACAGAGAAGGTCATGCAATGAGACTGGAGAAGGGGACAGGAAACTATAGGCAGAGAGAGAGCAGCAGGGGTCACACCCTGGGCCGCCAGTGTCCCTGCCTTACCGGGCATCCTCCAGGTCATGCAGAGGGTCAGCAGGATGACGGAGCCCACCAGCAGGATGGAGATGCCCGTGAGGAAGATGTACACCCACAGAGGGAGAGGGTCTGTGTAAGTAAACAGCATGAGTACCACATTGGGGGGGGACTACATGTGGCCCAAGTGTCCCAGCCCAGCTCTCCAACCCCCAGGAGCCATCCTCTCTGGCCGCCACAGGATGTGCTGCTGGTCTCACCACCCCTGGCTGCTGGTTCAGTCTTGCTTGCTGGTTCCCTATAAGACCAAAGACATTACGTGGTCGCTGGGGCATACCCTGGAGGCTCCTACAACACTGTGGAAGGACATGTACACTTACCTGCAATCAGGACTGCAGCAGAACAATAAGGAAAACAGCAAACAGTCTTCCTGATTACTAGCTATAATCCCGAACTAGCACTGAGGTACGCTGAGGGCCTTACGGACACTGGTCCTCACTGAGCTCCTCAGAAAAGGGCTAAGCTATGAACTGTCTCCACGAGGCACCATTGGTTGAGAAGCGATACCCCCCATCCCTACCCAGCATGGCCCTATCTGCTGCTTTGTGACAAGCGTGGGCCAAAGCCTTCTGTCAGTGATGGGTGTACGCACAGGAGGGCGCACTGCTGAGTCTCACAGCTCAGACTGGAACCCAGGGTTGTGCACCTTGTGCGTGACCTTGGACAAGTCAGTGCCTCAGTCTCCTCAGCTATGAACTTGGGGTGGGGGTGGACACTTATGATTCATGAGGATTTAAAATGGACCACAGGTTAAAAGCACTTGTCTCAGGACATGGGACACGACCGTAACCATGATAACAGCAATCCCATTTTCTAGTTACAGAAGTTGAGGATCAGAAAGGTTCATTACTTTGCCCAAGACTACATAGCTAATGAGAGGCAGTCAGGAGTCCCACCTGGGAAAGTGTCACTCTAAAGCCCCTCTCTACTCTTCAGGCCTGAAGAGCTCCCAGTCAAGCTGACTCCACACCCTGAACACCAGGGCGAGACTCAGCTCAAGCTGTGGTCCTCACTCATTCTCACCCCTCAATACAGCCCTGGAGAGCCAAGTCCCTCCTACCTGGAGTCTCTAGAATTTCTGGGCAGGGAACAGTGATGGAGTGCCTAAGGCAGTCGTTCAAACAGCTGCTGAAGAAGGGCTGAATCTGTGAGAAAAGAGGAAAACAGGAAGAGAGGCCTCCAAGAGGCTGGGGAGACACATTCCCTTCCTTGGTGCTCTCCCCCAGAAAAGGCAATTTGCAAGTAACGGACCACGGTTGGCTACTCCCAGATCACCGCGTGGCCCAATCTCCTATGAGCAAGAGGAGTCAGAGGTCTTCTGCCCACACGCAGCTAGCAGAGCAGGGAAGAAGGCAAGATGACACCCGCCAGCCTGGGAACCCCAGATGGTGACAGCACTGGGCGCTCAGCCAGAGCGCAGGCTCACAGGCCCTCCTCCTCGCTTGCAGAGTGACTAGAGGGAACATCCAGCCATGCTCACGCTCCCCACCTGCTGGCACCTCTCCTGTACCTGCACAGTGTGGAGGCAGCATTCACTGAAGCTGGGCAGAGTGAACATGACATTGGATCGCTGGTGAAAATCCTCTTCTCTGGGCTGAAAAATGAGGAAGGAGTGGGTTAGATCAGCTGGATCAGAAGCCGCTGCAGAGCCAACCCTGGGAGGCTGTTGAGAACACTGCCTTTTGCTGCCCAGTGTGCCCCTTAGGAAGGTCAGGTAGAGATGCCACTCAGGTTTCTACTCCAAAAAGAATGGCGTTCCTGCAGGGCAACAGGTCTGTCATTCCAGCTAGTAAGTGGCACTGCCCCTTTCTTGGGCTCCTGCAGGTTGGGGGACATCAGAGGTCACACCCAGCGGCTGTGCAGAGCCCTGCGGCAGACTCTGCACTGAGCTGGCTCCATCTACATCCTTATCTCTTCTCCCCTTTGAATTCATCTCCGCATTTCTTTCTTCTTTTGAATTGTCATATTCTTTTCAGAATATAGGAGAAAACAAAACTAAAGAACAGGCATATGTGCCCCAAATTCTCACAGGATGGAGAAATGAAAAAGGGAACGTGGCATGCCCACACCACATCTCACCAGGCATTTTCTCCCTCACTCACACATAATCTCTCTCTGGCAGGTGCACACATATACTCTGGCAAAAAGAAAAAAGTAAAATAAAAAAATCATAGTTAAAAAAAGAGGATAGGGGAGGGTGTGGGGGAGGGAAGAGCAAAAAAGATGGGGGTGGAAGGCAGGTCCGAAATGAACCCCATGTCTGTCAATAACAAGATCTAAAGGAAAGGGGACAGCGGCACGATGATGTTACATCACTGGACTCCCACATGGCTGACCACGGTTTGAGTGCCTGCTCTGGTGGCTTGAGACACACTGGGCATGTGTGCCCAAAATCCCAAGAGGAGGATAGAGGAGAAGGGATTGTGGCATGGTCATCTTCCTGGGGTGTGATTTCTCACTTTCTGTCCCTCTGATAAGCACACTCACAAAAATCTCTCAAAAAAAACAAAAACAAAAACATCTAAGGGAAAGACAGCTGGAGCATCAACCACCTACGTGTGGGGAAGAGAGAGGGGAGAGCAGCTCGCAATCACTCAGCACAGCTCCAAGCTCTGAGCTGCCGGCAGCTCAGTGCTGTCAGGGCCAGCAGAGAGGAGATGGAAGCTGGCAGAGGTGGTCCTGAGCCATGTATGGGTGTTAGAAATCAGCAGTTACCGCAGGTATGTGCTCCACGTGCTCAAAGCAGCTATGGTTCTCTGTGTGTGAGAAACTCTCCAGCAAGACCTGGTAATAGGTAGACTCGTTCCACAGGGTGAAGCTCACACGCAGCTGGTGGGCCTCTGAGGTCTCCACGGTGACGTTGGGGTCCCACAGGCTACCTGCCGAGGCACAGACATGGGGTGGGAAGGGAGTCAGGTGAGTTTGTGCATGAACGTGTGCACACACACCCAAGTGCAGCGCCCCTTGGACCAGCCACGGTTACCTGAGTTCACACACGGCGTGGTTATCTTCATGCTGAGGTCCCTGCAGTCTGCCGACCCAGAAAGAAGTGAAACAATTAAGCCTGTGCCTTGGGAAGTTTGTTTTTCTAGAAAACCTGATCCTGAGGCCAGTGATCTTTTTTACTCTGAGTGGCTGGCCCAGCTGGCCTCTTCTGAGCAAGACCCAGGGCTGGCCTGTTACCAGTAGCCAGAGGTTCCACAGGACTGGGGGCTGGCCTGCCTGTCACATACCCCCTCTCTCAGGGAACCCTCCTCACGTACAGATGGGGTTGTCCTGAGCTCATTTCTGGTTACCATGGGGTCCCAGCCCAGCCCATGGCCTCCTCTCCCTGCCTGCAGCCTCCTAGCTTCAGAGGAGCCTCTGCCTTTCTACAGCCTGAGCACTACTCTGACCCTCCACAGGGTGGTCCTCCCACTCCTACATGCTGAGGGGTGAGCCTGGTGAGTGCTGAGAACCTGCACTTCTAACGAGCTCCCAGATGACCTGTGATGCTGCCGGTCCAAGGACCACACCCAAGGACCTCATACCCCAGGTGTCTCTGATCTTCTTTCTCCTACTTCCACAACTGCAATGTTTTACCTTTTTCTTAAGAACACATGTGACAGGCAGGTATTACTGTGGAGTGACAGAGACCGAGTCAGCCTACTTTAGGAACAGGTACGGAAAGTGGGGCTCTTTACTCATGTAACAATATTTATGGGCCCCGTATGTGCCAGGCACTGTTCTAGGCACAGGAAATACCACGGTGAGGAAGTGAGGTCTCCACCCTTCAGAGATTACATCCCAGTAGAAGAGACATACGGAAGTGAACACACAGCATACAGTATCATGTCAGGAAGCAATAAGCCACATGCAGGAAAATAAAGCAGGGCAGTGTGCATGTGTGTGCACATGTACATGCACAATCACTGCCATATGTAACAAGCATTTCCTACTAGACACAAGGTGACCAGTGGAGTTCTGAAGATTACAGCAGTGGGTAGAAGACCAGACCTTGTCCTAACCAGGCTGGGGCTCCAGGTCTAGGTGGATTTGGACAAGGAGGAATCTTGTAGGTACTAGTTGAGATCCCAAGGAAGATGGAGAAGAGAAGGTGCAAGCACATCCAATGACGTTTTAGAAAAGCTTCCAGCATTGATCATAGTAAGCAGCAGGGATTGGGGGGAAGAATAGTGTGTCACCCATGGGATGGCATTAGACAGCGTAGGGGGCATGTGGGTGAAAGTAAAGAACAAAGTGGTAGAGGCTCGACTGGCTGCGAGCAGAGGTTACAGCGCTTCCAAAGAGATGTCTTCCTGCGGTGTTCCAGGCAGACAATGAGTTTCTCTAGACAAAGACAGCTCCTGGAATCTCAAGCCAGTATCCACCATGTGTTCACAGAACTCTGGACTCTTTGCCTCTGCCTTCAGAGAGAGGAGGCCATACCCACACATCACAGAACCCTCGTCCCCAGCATGCACTTGTACTGGGGCCCACGGGCTGGCCGTGGTAGCTGCTGTCCAGCTCACAGGGAGACCAACTTCTGGACTATCTCCAGAGGCAGTGGCTGGGGAGGATGCTCTTACCAGGCACGAGGAAGTTCCTGGACTGGTGGTTGGGGTCTCCATCAGGGATGGGCTTGGGCAAGTGGTGAACGGTCACCTCATACTCATGGCCTGGTTCTACCACAAAGTGGCTGAAGTTGAAATGCCACTGGAGAGAAGGGAGGAAGGGGAGGGAGGACAGGTTATGCCAGAGGTCCCAATGGGAACTGGGCGGCACAGCAGGAAGGGAGCAGTGGTCAAGGGAGCCAGCGCCATCTGTGTTTACAGACACTTCCCACGGCTCACATCTCCACCTGAGCTCTACCTCCTGTCGTGGTCGGCAGCGGCACCAGATTCTCATGGGAGCACACCCTACTGTGCCAGGGATCTAGGTTACACACGCTCACGAACCATACCAAGGCCCTCCCTTGTCCATGGAAAAATCATCTGCCACAAAACCACGGAAGTCCCTGCTGCCACAAGAGTTGGGGACCCTGGGTGAGGCAGACCTCTCACCCAGCTGTGGCCAGAGAACCCATCCTCACCTGCTCCCTGCAAATCAGACAAAAATAAGAACAAAACCACCACAACAACAAAGTCCAAAACCAGAGACATCAGTTCTTTGTTCCCCGTCTCCTCTTGTCTTTTCTGCCTGGTTTTAAAAACCTAGTAGGGCAAAGGCACAACATGCAGACATGCAGGATGTGCCCATTTTAACAGCTGGCAGACAGCATGAAGACGTAATGAAACTGTACTGTATTGGGGATTTTTGTTAAGTAGGTTCTAGCTGTTCTCACACACATAAAAAAGTAAACGTGGGATCAGAGATATGCCCATCTACCTCAATGCAGTAACCACTGAGCAATCTATATGTATCCCATAACACCATGCTATAAACCTCCACTACACACAAAAAAATGTATTTAAAAACAAAAATGGAAACATAAAACCCTACTTCTGGGTCATGAGTAGACAACAGAGTTATATGAAAAAGAATCTGAGGAAAGTGGAAGACGTCCTCCCCTCACAGTAGCTTTTCCAGCTTCAGAACAATGGCTGGTAAGGAGCTAAGCCACAGGACTTGGGCTGGTGGAAGTCCTGGCACACACGAGGCAGTTAACAACTATTTGCTAAATGACTCTTCCTCCTTAAAAGGGAAAGCCAAGAATCTCAAGAATGTTCTGGAACAGAAAAGTGCAGGACCAACAGTTGATGTAATGGCTATGTCACTGGACTCCCATGTAGTCAACTGCAGTTCAAGTCCCAGACCCGGTGGCTTAAACTCACGCCAGGCGCATGTGTGCATGCGTGCCCAAGATCCCGAGAGGAGAATGGAGGAGAAGGGATCTCGGCATGACCGTCCCCCCAGGAGAGGGGGGTGATTTCTTGCTTTCTGTCTCTCTATCTCTCTCTGTCTTTCTGGCGAGTGCATGTGCCCTATAGCAAAAACCTCTCAAAAAAAACAAAGAAAAGTGCAGAGAACAAGAGAGAGACCACCACTCGCCCTGGCCCAGCCATCACATTTCTTGCAAAGGTGACAGAATTTGCGCCAGGTTATTTTCCAGATGGTATCAAGCATAGATATTGATTGACTCCATTTCCCATGCTAAGTACCCTGGGGGAGGGGCTGGGGCTCCCGTTTCTAAGTAGATCTAGGCAACTTGGTCAGCATCATCCACACAACAGTCAAATTTGGGAATCCTAACTTAACACTGAAGAGGGGCTCTGGCTTTGTTTTCTGCTTGTTAGTGGAAAGCCTAACTTGTTTTAAAGAAGTCATTTGTAGGGTCCAGCAGGTGGCATGATGGTTAAGGTGCTAGATTCCCACATGGCTGACCATGCTCCAATTTCAAACCTAGCGGTTTGAAAACTATGCTGGGCAACTGTGTGTCCATGCCCAAAATCCTGAGAAGAGAATGGAGGAAAAGCATGCTGTTTGGCCATTCCCCTTAGAGAGATGATTTCTCACTTTTCCTTTCTGTTTCTCTCTGGCAAGTGCGTGTGCCCTGTGGCAAAAACCTAAAAGATAAATAAATAAATAAGTAGAGGCTGTTCATAGACTTAAACCAGTATTTTGGCAAGCATCATTATCACTCAAGGGCTGCTAACCATCCATTGCAAGCCCCACTCTCAGAGTTTCCTGGTCTACAAGATGATTTTTAACCAGTCCCCAGATGATCCTAGTGCTGTAGATGCAGTGGCATTGTGGGACACACAGGTTCAAACAAACTATGTTTGAATCAATGTTGTACCACCTAGCTGTGAGCCACAAAATGCGACCACACTAGCGCAGCTCATTTCTTGCACCCCACCCACAGCAGGGGTGAATCTGACCAGTTCGTCTTCCTGGAGGCAGAACCCAGAAGGACCCAAGTTGGAGATGAAGAAAGAAGAGGTAGGACTGTCCTTCCCAGTCAAGTTCCATTAGAATGAGTAACTAGACAAAGCGAGAAGCAGCAGCAGGGGCAGTATGTCAAGAAGTGCTCAAACACGCGCCTGTTTCTCGCTACTGCACATGGCAAATACAGAGGTGACCATTAGGAACTGCTCAGACTCCTACCTTTAGGTCTTTGCCACTCTGAATGGGGGTCTGAGTTTGGGGACAAGAATGTCCTGCTGTCATCGGAGAGGCACAATTCACCCAGAAGCTGGATCCTTACCCGCCTGTGGTGGTGCTCCAGTTTTGTTAGGAACATGAACTTGACACACAGACGCTCGTTGGTGTTCAGCTGCAGGATGGATAACTCTGCACCCCTGAGGTATAGGATGCTGGCTGAAGTTATGGGGAGAGACAAAGACAGATGCAGATAAACCACTGGGCTGGGTGTGCCACTTCCCTAGCTGTTATGCTTACTCACTCCTAAAAGAAAACCAACACTCTTACCTAACTTTCCACATCCTGTTCCGTGCAGCTCACTCTTGGGCCTCAGTGAGCTACTGCCTTACAGATAGTTATCTCCTGGCTGCATGAGGCCAGTGACACTGTCCTAGAAGCAGAGGCACTGCCAATGTGTAGCTAGGGCACTGGTAAGCTGGCTCGGGTGTCAGTGCTGCCATCCCTTCAGTCCCTGCAGAGGGACACACAAGCTGGGCATTGACTTCCCTGGCTCTTGAATCTAAGGCTGGCTCTCATTAGTCCCAGTCTCTAAATCTATAATGCAAACTTCCTAGCCCTGAAAAAGTATACGGATGTTTTCAAAAGTGTTGGCCCCCAGGCCAGCAGGTGTTATGGTGGTTAAGGAGCTGGACTCTACCTAACTAATTCTGTGGTTCAAGTCCTGGACCTGGTGGCTTGCTTTCTCACTCCCCTCCCCCGTTTAGTGAGCATGCACCCCTATGGCAAATTTAAAAAGTAATAATGATAAAATATTTAAAAAATAATCTAAAATGCTAGAAAAGAGTTACCTGCATAAAACAATGGATCCTCCCAGAACGAAATCTGGGCCCTCGTGTCTGAGCACAGGGCCAAGAACCCAACTCCGAGTCTGAGTAGGCCAGCCAATGGTGTCATAGGTTGATTCATGTGAGTGAAAGCAGGAGCCCCCAGACCCACCCACATGCCCACTCACCATCTGTCTGCAGTGTCCATTCAATGTGAATCACAGGAAGCAGGTCTCCTTGCTGGGTGTGAGAAAAGTGCAGCTGAATTCGGACATCTTTGGGAGACGAGGGGGTCAGGTTTTGAGGGTAGATCCAGCTGTCATCCAGGCAGGTACCTGGCAGCAAGGTAAACCAGCAATCAGACATATGTTGGTTAGGCCCTAGGACACCCAAACTGTGGTCCAGAGAGCTAGATCCTAAACAGCTCAGGGGCCTGCAACCTTCCACTTGACCCTTGGCCAGGTCCTCGGCTTCACTGCCCTGTTCCCTCTTTTCTAAGGCTTGTCTGGGGTCTCTGTAAAGCTCTTAAGTCTAGAGGGCATTTCGGCAGAAAAGACAGAGTACCCAACTTTGTTGAGATAGAACATGGTTGGAGAGCAGGCACAGGAAGAACAGGGAAGCAGTAGTTAAGAGTTGCTCTGCCTTTATATGTCAGGGTCCCTAATAGCATAGACATGTGAAATATGCGCCTCTTCCTTGAGTTAGGACAAAGTCAACACCACTGACATCTCTCTACAGTGACAAGCTGTGGCAAACCAAACTCTATTAGACACGTGTGGGCAGCTGCCCAGAAAATGTGTCCAGACCCAACTGACCACTGTCCTCATTTCCTGACTTGCATGAGTGCTTCGACAGAACACACAGGCACGTATGTTTGAGATCCTCCAGGATCTCTCTAATGGGTTTACCCTACAGCCTGCCTGGGGAATCACAAGCTATCACTTTAATCACTTTATTAAGTCAGCAACAAGAAGGACAATAAAAAGATAACTTGATGGATCCTGAACTTCCAGCTGTGAACTAGTGCTTTCAGAGACTTACAATGAAGACTTTCTGCTGAGACTTCCTCACTTATTTCTACCTCTGCTCACTAAGTGTCTAGACAGGTCCAAGTGAACAGAATCTATATATCTGCAGTTAGGGTCAGAATATTCCTCTATTCTCACTGATTCCGATACACAAAGAGTGAGAACGGAATGGAAGAGAGATTGCAGATCAACTCCTCCTGCACGCCTCTGAACACTCAGATTGAACTTCAAGAATTAGAAGAAACGCACCATCTATCTAATGACTGGAAAACACCGCAGGGTCACAAGAAATATGGAAAAATAAGAAAATACGTCTTCTCCAAGGAAAAATAAGTCCTCTTCATCCTCAGACAGTATGATGAAATTCATAGGAATATCTGATAAAGAATTTAGAATTTTCATGGTGACAAAGCTCACAGAGATCGAAGAGGAGAGAGACAGTGAACTGCCGAAGAGGTGGGGGAAAGAAGGTGACGAACTTCAGAAGGTGAGGAAATTTTTGCAAGACCTAAAAGAGGAATTACACACTTTAAAAAGGAATCAAATGGACCTGTTAGAGATGAAGACTATAACACAGGAAGTCAAAACCTCCCTTGAAAGTATTCAAAGCAGGCTAGATTACACTGAAAATCGAATCTCAGTTGTAGAAGACAGAATTACTGGCACAGAAAAATCCACCATGAAGATTGAGAAAACTGCCCCCCAAAATGAGACTACTATACGAGAAATACTAGATACCATCAAACGTCCAAATATCCAGATAATTGGTATCCCAGAAGGGGAAGAGACCCGTAAGGGCATTGACAGTCTATTCCATGAAATCCTGCAAGAAAACTTTCCAAACCTAGAGAGGCATTCAAAGAGCCAGTCCCAAGAAATACAAAGGATCTCAACCCAAGGAGATCTTCTCCAAGACACATCACACCCAGATTGAGCAAAGCCACAAAGACAAAGACAAGATACTAAGATCGGCAAGAGATAAATGGTAAGTTACCTACAAAGGATATCCCATCAGGCTGACAATGGATCTCTCGTGGGAAACAATGCAAGTGAGGAAAGAACGGGAAAATATATTCAAAGTGTTAAGGGAAAAGCAATTGCAACCACGATACTATACCCGGCAAAATTATCCTTCATATAGGAAGAAAAGACAGGAACATTCTGAGATAAACAAAATTTGAAAGGATTTACCAACACCAGACCAGATCCCCAAGAAATTCTGCAGGGAGTGCTATACCAGGAAAATTAAATACAGTCACACAGAAATAAGAGTTCAAAAACTAAGAAAATGGCCAACTTAATCATGGGGACAAGTCTGGAGTTGAATATTATATCCCAGAATTTAATTGGGAAAATTGAATCACAACAAAAGATAAAGTACATGAGACTGAACTGGTAAAACAGAATCTCATGACTTTTGATTAAAACATTGTTGACTTTTTTCTAGGCTTTGTTTTCTGATTTTAAAGATTTTGCCTCGTCTTGAGCTGCCGATAGGTTCATGTACCTACTATTTGGACAGAATCCCAACCTGTTTCCTGGCTTTAAGTTTTAAGCATATTTCCTTAGCATTTCTTTGATTGATTAAAGTTAAATCTGCTTTTCTTGAAATTGAAAAATATAGTAAAAAATACATAATTAATGACCATAGTAAACTATATAGCATCAGCTACTATAGATCAGCTAGGTGCTACCTTATAGTATATTCATTCTACTGAGACTCATGCCGTAAGTCAGACATGTATTCATAGATATGTATATATCAACAGAGCTTGCTATTGAAAGTAGTTAGATTATTTAAGAAATTTTGTGAATCAATAAAATGTGGGGGGGAAAAAGGAATGGAAAACAACTGTGGACACCTGAGATAGTGTGGGAGGAGTGTGGGAAATGGCAGAGGGTGAGAAATAGGGAGGAAAAAAAAAATATATATATATATATGAAACTAGAAATGGAAAATTATTGACAATAACATGTATGATAAAGCTACTAAGCAGCATCTTCTGGATTGGAAATTACATTTTGTATGCTGTGACAATGCTCAGTGAATAAATGTAAATTAATTAATTAAAAAATAAGAAATAAAAAAAGATTATAAAAAAGGACAATGAAAAGATAACTTACTATTCTGGACCACACAGTTGAGCTCCTGTGGGGGGGAGAAAATAAAAGTAGCAATTACAGCTGGGAAGAACTTTAATTCACACACCAGGCTCTAGAAGCTTTGCCCTCGCCCATATCCAACAATAAAAATCACAAAGCCCTCCCTTCTTACTTCTGGAGGCCACCCCAGAGACAAGTCATCTCCTCACACTTCCCTCATTCTGTCCAACCGATGATACAGGCTAAGAAGTCAGCACAGTGGATGGCAAAACGAAACTGAAGTCTTAAGAGGAACTGTTATGAGCTAGGAACTCTACAACTTTGAGACCCCAAGGGGGAGCTGGTAGGTAGGTGGCGCATGGTGGTTAAGGGCACTGGACTCCCACATGGCCGACTGCAGTTTGAGTACTGGACCTGGCAGCTTGCTCTCTCACTTTCACTCTCTATATCTTTCTCTGGTCTAATTAAAAAATAATAATAAATAAAGTTAAATAAAATAATTCTTAAAAAAAAAAAAAAAAAACCAAGAGGGTTCCCCTAGGGCGACCCAGTAAATAGGCCCCTAACTCTCTTGAGGCTTCCAATTCTAGGTATGGATCGCAATGCTACAAGAGGTAGAGAAGGAGTAAGGAATGGAAGTGACAGTTTCTGTTATATATCAGTTACAGGAAATGCACTCAGTACTAGAAAATCCATAGGGAACATGGGCCAGACCCTGTTCTGGGTGGTTTCTATATAGCACATAATTTCACAAATCCTCATGACACACTGATTACCCTAGTCCTATTTTTCTAAATGTACTTATGTTGTTAATTCTTTTTAAAATTTAACTTATTATTATTATTGTTTTTAAATTCAACCAGAATGAGAAAAAGGGAAGTGAGAAAACAAGCCACAGGACTCAAACTGTTATCAGCTATATGGGAGTCCAGTGCCTTAACCACCACGCCACCTGCCAACCCCTGTAATTCTTGATTTGTCAATTTTGGACATTATTTGTTGATTTACAAAGGATGAAAATTACATCACCTGTTTTATAGATGAGGAAAATGAAGTCCCATACACACTTTGGCAATATGTGTTACTTTCTAACCCAGAGATCTGGAGGGCCAAATTCAAACTTAGAAGCCTCAGTGACAAACAGTAGGGAAATGTGATTAGACTTAAGCTCTGTCAGCTGACCTACTTTGGCAAACGTCCCCCCCATTGGGTCACCTCATCAACCCTCAATTTCTCAACTCTAAAATCAGAATAATCCTATACCAACTTGATCACATCATTGAGAATCAAATGATACAAATATAAAGATCTTGTGGAATGTGTGCAACAACAAGGAGCCTTCCAGTGCATGCCTGTATATACCTATGCGCTAAAAATGTTCATGGGGACATATCCCTATACTGGTTATTCACTTCCATGACACAACACAGTGCTCGAGCTTCACTACACAGTCAGGAAGCATAAGAAAATCAGCACGAGGCAGTCTGTAGGTGGCAACACCCAGAGAGCCACCTTGCTGCTTGCTAACCAAGACAGCACTCACCCACTGTCTGGGACATGATGTTGCTCTCTACTAAGGGTTCCCCTTCTTCAGAGCTTGGTGTATAATAAGTGCCCCATAAATGATAACTATTATAAAAAGGTAACCCCACACACTCAGACGGGGCCCTGAAGCTTGGGAAGGCCCAAGGCCCAATTAAGGCTCAGGTCTTTCCAGTTCTCTTAATGGGCAGGATGGACTAAACACATCCTGTGAAGTACTTTAGGTGTTGAGGCAGGCCAGAAACACTTTATTTTTATTAAGAGGTTTTTGCTATAGGGCACGTGCGCTCGCCAGACAGACAGAGAGAGACATAGAGACAGAAAGCGAGAAATCACCCCCCAGGGGGGATGGCCACGCCGCAATCCCTTCTCCTCTGTTCTCCTCTCGGGATCTTGGGCACGCACACACACGTGCCCGGCATGAGTTCTAAGCCACCGGGTCTGGGACATGAACCACAGTCGACTACGTGGGAGTCCAGAGACATGACCATTATGCTAACTGCTGGTTCCCAGAAACACTGTTTTTAAAGAGTTATTTTAACTTCATTCATTCATTCATTTAAATTTGACCAGAGAGGGACAGAGCGAGAGAAAGTGAGAAAGCAAGGTGCCAGGTCCGGGATTCGAACCTCGGTCAGTCACATGGAAGTCCAGCTCCCTTAACTACCATGCCACCTGCTGGACCCCGAAACACACTTTTATCTGCTCTATGTGTGTAAAAGGACAAAGGCTGGCACCTGCCTCTTTCTCACCAGGGAGCAGAGATGGCTAAGCAGCAGGCAGGAGAAGACATACACTACCAAGGTCCACCACAGAGTGGGTCACACGTCTGCCTCCCTTGTTAAGTTTTAAGGGTCCAAGGTCCAGCAGGCTGGAGGACTGAAAGGAGATCATGCTGCCACCAGACCTTGAGGAAGCTGCCCTCTCTCTCCTCTCTCCCCTTCATGTGCATACACATATGCTACCATGAATAAAGAAAAACAAATTTAAAAAAAAAAAAAAAAATGGGAGCATGCGCTTCTACGCCCAAAATCTCAAAAGGAGGGAGAAAAGGAGCACAATGTCCCCCAAAGCGGGGTGTGCTTTCTCTCAATACTCACCTCACACCACATTTAAAAAAAAAAAAAAAATGGGGGCCAGCAGGCGGTATGGTGGCTAGGGGCGCTGGACTCCCACATGGCTGACCATAGTTCAAGTCAGACCTGGTAGCTTGCTTTCTCACTTTCTCTCCCACTCTATCGTTCTCTGGTCAAATTAAATAAAGTTAAATAAAATAATTCTTTTGTAAAAAAAAAATATATAAAACATTTTATTTTATTTATTTATTTTTTTATTTAAATTTGCTTTAGGGTGCATGTGCTCACAGGAGAGACAGAGGGAAAGTGAGAAAATACCCCCCCTTGAGGGGGAGGAGATGGCCATGCCACAATCCCATCTGTTCCATTCTCCTCTTAGGATTTTAGCCACACTCACAAGCCTGGTGTGTTTTCCAAGCTCCTGTGTCTGAGACTCAGACCATGCAGTCGGCCACATGGGATCCAGCATCTTAACCACAGTGCTACTGGCTCGCCCTCAGTACCATTTTTAAAGGATGAGCACCAAACATTAGTTGATTAAAAATTATTTAAAAGATTTATCTATAATGTTATCCTAAGCAAATAAAAGAAATTGAAAAGTGAGATAGATTCAAGCATTAATTTGTTCAGGGGAAGGAATAGTGGACATCTATTCCTTATAAAGTAATTTCACTACAGAATGTGCATTAACATAACATTGTTAACAATGTAAACAAGAAATGCATTAAGGCTCTTCTTTGGATTTACTTAGATCTTGTTCTGTCCAACAGTTCCTCTCTAATAGTCATTCCCAAATTCTCTTCGTTATTTTTTTAAAAATTTGTTCATTTATTCATTTCGGAACTAAACCCTGATCTTCCATACAGATCCAAGTGTTGGGAAGCCGTATGCTGCTGATGATGCCCAACGACAGTTGGCCCTTAATTTTGTTATGTTAAACTTCCCAGTCTTTAAAATAACAAGATCGGGTTGGCGTAATGGCTACATCGCTGGACTCCTATGTAGTCGACCACAGTTCAAGTCCCGGACCCAGCGGCTTAAACTCACATCAGGCGCATGTGCGTGCATGTCCAAGATCCCGAGAGGAAAATAGAGGAGAAGAGATGGCAGCGTGGCCATCCCCCCCTGGGAGGCGTGATTTCTCGCTTTCTGTCTCTCTGTCTCTCTCTTTCTGGTGAGTGCACGTACCCTAGAGCAAAAACCTCTCCGAAAGAAAATAACAGGATCAGGCTATTATTTTTTTTTAATTATTTCATTTATCTTGATTTATACATTTATTTATTTTCATTTGACCATAGAGGGATAGAGAGAAAGAGAGTGAGAGAGAAAGCAAGCCGCCAGGTCTGGGACTTGAACCAAGGTCAGCCATGTGGGAGTCCAGCACCTTTAACTACCACGCCACCTGCTGGCCCCAAGGATCAGGCTATTATTTACAAGCTACCTGCTTGAATGGCATTCAGCAGAGACTGCAGAAATCAGAGGGGATCATTGGTGACAATGACAACAGCAGCTAATACATTTGTGCCAGGCATCACGTTAAGTACATTCTACACACACGCCATTTAATCCTAACCTAAGTACCATGACTCTGCTTCTACTGATGAGAAGACTGTCTAAGCGGCCCCAAGTCCTCAGAGCTGACACTCCATGGAGTTCTGTTCTAGAATCGGTGCTCTTCATCTCTGCAGTACTGTCTCTCTATGTACTCGAAGGGACACCTGTAACAGGTGGGCCAGCACTCTCCATCCACAGCAATGAAGATTAAAATAAAGAAACACAGGCCAGCAGGTAGCATGGAGGTTAAGGCACTGGGTCCCACATGGCTGACTACACTGTTTGAGTCTGGAACCCTCAGCCTGAGAAATACGCAAGTAGTATGTGTGTGCATGCCCAAAATCTCGAGAGCATGGAGAAGGGATTTTGGCATAGTCATCCCCTCTGGAGAGAATGCTGTCTCATTTTCTCTCGTCACCACCCCCCACCCCAGCACACATAGCCTACAGCAAAAAAACTAAAAAATAAAATAAAATGAAGAAACAAAAGTTGTATTCAACCCTGTGCATTTGGGGAACATCACTGGGGCCTGACAAAGAACAAGGGGTGTGTAGTCACACGTGCAGATCCTCAGCTCAGCACTTACTTACTGAGTGACCTTGGCCCACATCTCGCCTCTCTACAGCAGGTTAACCATGCCAGTCTCACAGACTGTCCTGAGCAGGTATGCTGTGTGCATGCAAGCCACAGGAACAGGGCCTGGCAAACACCAGGCAAGGTCAGTGCCCTCCACCTCCCAGGCCCAGTGTACCTGGCCCAGTGCTCTCACACATGAACACACTACTTGCTCTCCCCCATAACCTGAGAAGCGAGGATCATCCCTTTTATAGATGAGGCCACCAGCTCACAACCGTGGGTGACTGACGACGGTAGGTGGGTAAGAGTGGAAGCCCAGACTGCTATGCCATGTGCTATCTGCTCGATGCCATCTGATGTGATACATTCTCTCCCTAGGAGATTAGCCTGACAGGAATAACAAGCGGCCAGGGCCAGAGTCTGGTGTGGCTCAGGGTGAGGGAGCTATAGAGCAAGAGAATCAGTGAACACTGATTCTTGCCCCCTGGGGACTGTAAGCCTGCTGGCCCTGTTGCCACTGGCAACCCCAGCACCGTCTGCCCAAGTGCCTGCTGCTCCACAAGAGTACAGACAGACCTATAGGGGCCCCTACAAGTCTGACGATGGAGTCACAGAGGTTAGAGTTCACGCGGCTCCCACAGACCTTCTGGAGGGTAATGTATCTCTCCGAGTTGGCTCACCACCGATCCTTTGGCCCTAGCAGCCTGGCTGGCTGGCCAAGGCTCAGAGAGCACAGAGACAACACGCAAATGTGGATCTGGGTCCTCCGGCACCCAGCTGCCCACGATATCCAAGTGCACTCGCTAATACCAAGGCAGGGGAGAAATGTGAGCAGTATGGTTTCATTCTTTATCTCATGAGAGACAGACAGATGTGTATAGCCCCGGTCCTCATGCAGCATGTGGGGGCTGGAGAGGAAACACACACTGGTTTGAGACACAAACCTGGGACCTTCCGTGTGACCTCAGCGTCACAGGGCATCACAGAGCACGGCCTCACTGCCCCTTCATTTTTTAAAAGTACCTGTCAAGGGAACCAGCAGTTAGCGTAATGGCTATGTCGCTGGACCCCCACGTGGTCGACCACGGTTCGTGTCCGGACCCGGTGGCTTAAAACTCACGCCGGGCACGTGTGCGTGCGTGCCCAAGATCCCAAGAGGAGAATGGAGGAGAAGGGATTGCGTGACCATCCCCCCTGGGGGGTGATTTCTCGCTTTCTGTCTCTATGTCTCTCTGTCTGTCCGGCGAGCGCACACGCCCTACAGTGAAAATCTCTCAAAAAAAAAAAAAAAAAAGTACCTGTCAATGGGGCAGGGAAGCTACTTGTCCAGGAGAAAAGCTGTGAGCCAGGTCTAGCACAAAAGCGTGGGAGGAGGCCACTAGAGACTGAAGCCAAAACCCGCCCTCCATCTCTCCAGCACTCCTGGCACTGGGCTGACTCCCAGCTGCTTCCCTGGGCCTTCTAAGTCACAGCTGTCAGCCCTGCTCAAGCTTCTTTGCATTTTCCTGCTACACAGTCGCTCCATCCAGCCAAGTCTCCCACTGCCATCCCACTCCAGGACTCAGCTCCGGCCACTGCCACCTCCTGGAACGCTAAGCTCCCACTAACTGGTCTTCCAGCCCATTCCAGCAAATGTCTTTTCCATAAGGAATGCCCCAGCTGAAAGTAATTTTTCTCTTCCACAAAACTGGCTACTGCAAGAGCACTTGCCGCTGGCTGTCCTGCAAGGCAGTTACCTTCAGGCCCTGTTCCCTCCTAGATGACTGAGGTGCTTGACATTAGAGTCTCTTTACAGTTTTCCTTAGCACAGTACCTGACAGAAGGCCATCAACAAACAGCAAAAATGCTCAAGGTCAGGACAGTGTCACACAGTCCGCAGGAAAACCAGAGG